AAGAAGAAGAAGAAGAAGAAGAAGAAGAAGAAGAAGAAGAAGAAGAAGAAGAAGAAGAAGAAGAAGAAGAAGAAGAAGAAGAAACTGCTGAAATGGACAAATCAAAAGAGCTTCACGAAACCAAAGTCTGGACAGATTACTTTATAAGCTGGCCAGCCAGCTGTCTGCACCAGCTGAGAACAGCCGGGACTTCAGGCCCAGCAGGGCGTACCAGACGCAGGTTCTGCTTCTAAGGAATCTCCTTTTCTCCCTCTCTCTCCCTCTCTCTTTCTCTTCTTAAAACAAGTTTCTAGCCCTTATGGCTATGGAGATACGCTTGAAAACAAACAAGAAACGTCTGCCCCAAGTCTTGACGGCTCAGTGGGACTGCCAGCTGTCTGGGGGAGAGAGGTTTTCAGAAGCTTCCCTCAATTATAGCAAAACAAAAATAAATTACATCCCAAATAAAATTCAAGGAATAAATTATGCAAATAAAATGCTAGGTGCGGAATCTCTCTCTCCCATACACACACGCGTGCACACACAACCAGAGCGTTGTGCAGTGATCCTGAAGTAAATCTCCCTGGATTATGGTGGGCTTCACGTCCAATGAAGTGTGCAAAGGATTCCAGCCTTAGGCACTTGGATGGCTCTAAAGAGCCTCACAGTATCGCCGAAGTGTGTTCTTCAACACCACACCCCTGCAAGGGAGGGAACTCCTTCTTTTCCAGACGAGAGGTTTTAGGATTTTGTTTTGGGGGGGGATTTGCCAGCTCTTTGTAGACAGGGCCTGATGGGGCAGGGGCTGGAACCCACCCACCCCCAGGGAGTGCCCCTGAGCTAGAAGGCTGTCCCTGGGCTGCCCCTCCCACCATGGCCTGGCCTGCCTTGGCAGAACTGGCCTCCGCGCGGGCCGGGGGTCCGGCCGTGGCTCGGTAGCAGATCATTCAAGTCCTTGGAATCAGTCGCGCGGCGTCCCTTCGGCTCCCCTGGTTCCACTCAGGGCGGTGTGGGGTCTTCCCCCAGCCTCGCCTCCCTCTTCATTCCAGCTTGCGGATGTAGCCATCCACAGTGGGGATCTCGACGTCTGTCTTCTTGGCCGGGCCCACCATGTTCTTGTACCTTTCCCCCCGGTGACGCTCCAGGTACGGCCCCCAGCTCGGTTTGGGCTTGCAGCAGGAGACGATGCGCTGAAAGGAGGAGGAGGAGGAGG